CGGCAGCACACAGCAGAAGAAAGCAGATGCAGGAGCCTGCCGCAGGCAGCAGCACCCCGCAGCTACATGCCGCGATAGCAGAGGCGATGTTCGGGCCCAGCGTCATTACGAAAGCCGTTCGGCAGCATCTCTGCCCTTACCCAACGTGCCACGTCGGACAGATTTCGTGGCCATTAGGGTACGGGTCAGCACACTAGTTACCTACAACGCCGCGATGAGTGCGTGCGAGAAGGGCGAGCAGTGGCAGCGAGCTTTGACGCTGCTCAGCGAGATGTGGGATGCGAAGCTGAGGCCCGATGTCATCAGTTTCGGCGCCGGGATCAGCGCTTGCGAGAAGGGCGAGCAGTGGCAGCGAGCTTTGGCGCTGCTCAATAAGATGTGGAAGGCGAAACTGAAGCCCAACGTCATCTGCCCTACAAAGCCTGGCGCAGTGCGTGCCAGGATGGCGCCTGGCTCAAGGGAAGCAGACATCGGCCCAGCCGGCTCCGACGCGCCCCTTGGCGCCCTCAGACGTCCCCACACGCTCCGGCGGAGCTCTCTTAGGGCCCCACGTGGCCCAAGGTAGCCTCTAGGGGGCGCCTGCGACCGCCAAGCCAGCCTCAAACTGGGGCCAATGTGTCCCCAGGACAGTGCCGTTTTCCATACATGCTCCGCGTGCGGATCATGCATTAAAAATGCAGGGATTTAGTATTAAAAACAACGATGAGTTCATGCCTCGATTTATTCATACATTGATCGTGTATTAGAAATCCAATATTCAAAACAAATCTCATGTTTTAACAATTGCCCTGGAGGTTCCAAGATGGCTCTGCGCAGGGCCGCCGAACGCCATGGAGATCCTAAAGACCCTTAGGTCCGTCTGCTTTCCAGCCACTTTCCGCTTCTCGCCTCCAGCTGGCTCCAAGGAGGGCCCCAGAGGCTCCCACGAGGCGCCGAGAGGCCCACCGGTCCCCTGAGAGGGCCCAGGACGCCCACAAGATGGCCCCAGGTGGCCTGGGCCGGCCCCCAATGTGCCCCCCAGAGTGGCGAACGCACAGCACGCACCCATACCCGTGGGAGGTGGAGGCGGCTCTGGGCGCGTGTTCTCGGACGGGGGTCCCCGCCCGACCGGGAGCCCCCCCCCCGAGGGTCTGACAACCCGCGCCAGTCCTCCTCCCTCGGACTCTCCTGTGTGTGTGTGTGTGCTGTCCGTTCGTCGCAGGGACATTTCCCACACGGCCCAAATGACCGCTCCCAAGGCCTCCCAAGAGAGACCCACGTGGCCCCCAGGATCCCAAGCGTGGCTCGAGGCAGCCCCGGCAGAGCCCCAGAGAGGCGCCGGCATAGCTTCTGAATGTTTTTTTTCGAGGCACAAGCGGCTCCTCCTCCTCCTCCTCCTTTTCCTCCTCCACCTCCTCGCTCCTCTTTCTCTTCGCTCCTCCTCCTCGCTCCTCCTCCTCCTCCTCCTCGCTCCTCGCTCCTCGCTTCTCGCTTCTCGCTCCTCCTCCTCGCTCCTCGCCCCAGATGCGCACAGACACCGCGACAGCGCCCGATCGGCACACGAAGCCCTACATGCAGTAGCCGCCCGCGTGTGAGTCGCTGGGCCCAGCACAGCTTCTAGGTTTAGGTCGGGCATGTCCTCCGACATGGAGATTGGACGAACAAGTTAGAAATAGTCAGAACATATTGAAAAACGGTTGTAAAGAAATCGTATCCGTTTTTTTGGTGTGACTATTTTTGAACCTTCCTCCTGTAGAGGGACAGGCCCGACTTGACTCTATATGCTTCCAGAGCTGGCCCTCATGTGGCCCGCAGGCGGCCCGACAGCTCTTCCTCTCCCTGGGGCCGCCGGCAGGCCCAGCAGCGCGCGACGCGGCGCGCAGCAGCGCCCCTCTGAGCGGCAGCACGTGCACCACCAGCGCGCGGCACCCGTAGCGGCCGCGGTGGGCAACCACGCTGCCCACGCTCCTTCCTCCTCGTCCTCTCCGCCTCCCTCCTCTTACTCTCAGAGGCGACAAAAGGGGCGAATAGCCCAGGGGAGAGCAATACGTGTATCCAGGGGCGCCGAGGATCTATGTCTTCGACAAGGCTCCCGGGCGAATACGTGCAATGCCCTCCCCTGGGCTATTCGCCCTTATCGTCGCCGCCGATATTCACCCCCCGCCCGTGTCCCGAGTCGTCCCGAGTTTGGGGCCGTTGCAGGTCTTTGCCCTCGGCAATGCCGAGGTTCGTCGCGTGCCATTTCCCTCGGCTGTCCTCCTCCTTCCAGAACTGCGCTGGAACAAACCGGCGCGCAGTGAGCAGGCGAAGCATGCGATGCGAAGCTGTCAGGCCACCAGGCCAGAAACCCCGCAAGCGGGACTGCAGGCCAACAGTCAAGCGAACACGGCATTCTGACTGTTGCATGCGTGGAGTGGGCTTTCGTGGCGGGATCCGATCAGATCAGACCGCTTGCCATAGGTTTAATCCACGGATCTGTCCTACTCATCTACAACGCTGGGATCAGCGCGTGCGAGAAGGGTGAGCAGTGGCAGTGGGCTTCGGCGCTGCTCAGCGAGATGCGGGAGGCGAAGTTGGAGTCCGACGTCGTCAGTGTTGCAATCCTGGGCGTCGCGCGTGCGAGACGGGGAAAACAGTGCTGGCTCCTGGGTCTCCGATGTGAACGTTCTCTTATTCATTGTTTTGCCGATCGGCGCGGGCCCTCCCCCCTCCCCCCCTATGGAGTAGATCTTGGCTGTTTTTGCCGCCTGCTTCGAGCAGGTGCAGCCTCCCCCGTAGGACGCACTGCTGGAAACAGTTGCATTCAGCAGAGGTCCGAAGCCAGACCCCCCCCGCCTCCCCCCTTCCGCTCAATGTCGAGAGGCCAAGTATCGCGGGCCACACGCGAACCCTACCCTTTACCCCCCACGATTTCTCAGGGGGAGGGTGGGGTTCACTTCGCTCCGAGCGAAGTGAACCCCCTATCGTCGAATCGAGGAACGTATGGAGTACATGGGAAGAGGGGGGGGGGAGGATGAAAAATCCACCAAGACATGGAAACCTAGGCGGAATCCTGGGATCTGTGTGTACCTATCCGTGTGTCCCGGGGCCCCTGCAGATCCTCGCCCGTCGGGGCCCGCGCCCCCCCCCCCGTCCAGGGGAGCGAGCGTGTGCGGCTCGAGAGAGGCGCGCGGCGGATCCCTGGGTCCGAGAGTGTTCCAAGCGACTCTTAAGTCGGGCACGTCCCTCTTCAGTCGGAATACATACATATGATATATATGATATATATACATATATATATATATATATATGTATATATATATATATCATATATATAGCATACACACATATATGATATACATTTGATGCACATGTATATGCATGTTTATTTATATATGCATATATTCAATATATATGGCAGAACTACTCATGGGACGATTCTTCTAGTATTTTTGTGGCACTTTTGGAGTATTCTTGGGTTTTCCGAAGAAGGAAACACGCCATAACCATAAACTTGGCCCGGCGCAGATCCAAGAAATCCGCTCGCAGCGCGAGCAGTGTATGTTTGTGGCGTTGTTTCTTCTTCTACTCGTGGCTGATCCCAGGGTCCGAGAGTGTCCCAGGCGGCTCTCAAGAGGGCCCTGAGGCGCGCTCGAGATCCCTCAGGAGTGCCCTCCCAACACGGTCCGACTTCGTCTCTGAGGCGGCCCGAGGGGCCCCAATGGGCGCCCAGACTGCAACAGGAGGCGTATGAGGGCCCCTGAGAGCCCAAGAACCCCGAAACAAGTGGCACGCGTGCCCTGGCTCTTGCACGAAGGAGCTGCGAGGGACGGAGGGCTTTCGCCTCCTGCCTCCAGGAGATTCCTCCCGTGGCCGGTGGGGGGGGGGGGGGAGGGGGGAGGACGAACGACGAGCGAACGAACGAGCGACGACGACGACAATGGAGAGGTCCGAGCCGTAGAACACAGCTGTGCAAGACAACAAGGCTCCAAAAGAAGACACCCCGAGGGCCTCACGAGTGCATGGCAAGGAGGCCACGTGTTCGGCCACGCGCGGCGGCGCCGAGGGCAGTGGGGACGCTCGTGGGTGCTGGCTGCTTCTCTCGAGCCACTTCCTCCTCGACCCCTGCTCCTGGCTCCGCGCTCCTCGCTCCTCGCGGCTCGCCCTCCTCGCTCCTCGCTTCTCGCCCCCCCCCTCTCTCGCAGGTCCTGGCTCCCCTCTCCTCGCCCCTCGTCGCTCCCCTCCCGGCCCCCGCGCCCCTCCCTCCCGGGTGCTGGCGCCTGCCTCCCCCTTCCTCCCTCCTCGTCGCTCTCCCTCTTGCCTTCTCGCCCCTCTCTCTCTCTCTCTCTCTCCTCGTTCGTCGCTCATGCCTTCTCGCTCCTTGCTCCTCGCGGATCGCTCGTCGCTTCTCCCACCTCCCCCCGGAGGGTTTCTCCGAAGGGCTTGGGCGACCCGTCCTCCTCCTCCTCCTCCTCCTCCTCCTCCTCCTCCTCCTCCTCCTCCTCCTCCCTCCTCCTCCTCCCCCTCCTCCTCCTCCTCCTCCTCCCTCCTCCTCCTCCTCCTCCTCCTCCTCCTCCTCCTCCCCCTCCTCCTCCTCCCCCTCCTCCTCCTCCTCCTCCTCCCTCCTCTTCCTCCTCCTCCTCCTCCTCCTCCTCCCTCCTCCTCCTCACCCACCTCCTCCCCCTCCTCGCCCTCTCCTCCTCGGGTCGCCTACGGCCCCGGGGGAAACCGTCCACCTCCCCCCTCGATCCTGACTCCTCGCTCCTTGCTTCTCGCCCCTCGATCCACTCACGAGCTGCAGGTCGCGTTAGCTGGGAGAAGAACCCAGAAGCAGCACACTACAGCCTCAAGCAGCAGCGGCGACCATCAGCAGTCCGCAGCAAACAGCGACAGCAGCACCCTGCAGCAGCAGGCAGCAACGGCAGAGACGAAGTCCGGGCCCAACGTCGTCATGAAGCCCTTTGGCATCATCTCCTCCCTGACCCAACGTGCCGTCTCGGACATATTTCGTGGCAGGTAGGCCACGGGGCAGCTTTAGTCAGCTACAGCGCTGTGACCAGCGCGTGCGAGAAAGGCGCGCAGTGGCAGCAGGCTCTGTCGCTGCTCGGCGACATGTGGGAGACGAAGACAGAGGCCGACACCACTGTCTTTGCTCACATTGTCAAGCGGTGCCTGTTCCTCATCCCCATCCTCTTCTGTCCTCCTCCTGCGCGAGCTGAGATTTCCGCGGGGCCGCTTCATCGTACCCTCCCTCCGCCGCTGTCCAGACTCTCCCCAGTGGCCCGCAGGGGAAGGGAAGTGGGGGAATGGATGAAGATACGCAAGAGGTGAAAGCAGGAGAAGCAGGACGACAGTGGAGAATCTGACCACAGGGAGATGAGGAGGACCGTGGACCGCCGCAAAAGTCATTGGGAACTCGTACTTGGATCCTTGCCGCTTTCGCCCCCTGGTGCTGCCACACGCGCACACACACACACACCCAAGCACGCAACACACGCACACGCACACGCACACGCAAACGCAGCACACGCACACGCAGCACGCACACGCACACGCACACGCAGCACACGCACACGCACACGCGCACCCACACGCATACCCACACGCACACGCACGCGCACGCGCACACGCAGTACACACACACACGAAGCACACGCACACGCAGCACACGCAGCACACGCAGCACACGCAGCACAGGCAGCACAGGCATACGCACAGGCACACGCATACACGCAGACTCTGCTTCGAGGGATCAACGCAGCCTCAGGACCTTCCCGAGGACCCGATGACCCCTCAGGGCCGACGGCCTATCCCCTCAATGGTCACAACCATGAGGCTATAGGGCGCCCGCTGTGTGCCCCGTTCCGGGTCACCAGGCCTCACTCGTGCTTTCCTGACGACTTTCATGTTTTGCTGCCGACGTCCTGTGACCGCACTGGCCAAGAATGAGGCTTTCGAGCAGCCCCCTGCAAAACCCAGCTCTGGCCCCTGGAAGGCCAAGAGAGGTCAGCGCCGATGGCATCAGGATGTCTTGAGAAGTCATGTAGCATATCCTCGAGTCCCAGACACGCTATCAGGCATCATATGCCACCAGCCCCGCGGGTGCTGCTGACCCTAGGACATACTCAGCAAATTCACCCGCGACAAGATACGACACAACACACAATGGCATATAACCTATGGAAACTATGGTAGGAGGCCCTCGGGCAAGTCAATGTCCCATGGTGGTTTTCAAATATATGCGGATGTAGCACTTGAGAGTGCAACTCGTCATCTACAGCGCTGCGATCAGCGCATGCGAGAAGGGCGGGCAGTGGCAGCAGGCTCTGTCGCTGATCGTTGGTATGTGGGAGCTGAAGTTGGAGCCCGATACCATCTGCGGTAGGTTCCGGTGGCGTCGACGCGGCGGCGACCCCAGCGCGGGCGTGCAAGGCTGAACGCCACCTGTGGCCAGCAGCCGACAGACGTCGCGCGCGATCCTGCGCGATCGTAAGCCGCGATCGATCAAGCCTGAACAATCCACGCGGGGGTCAGGTCAGAAGCCAGCGCGCAAGTCGTCACGACGCGAACCCGCTGTGTACTACAGAGCCCGTGCACTCCGCGTGCCAGTCGAGGGGCGACACCCTCCCGGGCGGCCATACGTTCGCAGGCGGTCGGGGGGAGAGAGCTCCAAGGACGGCCCCGGAGAGCCCCCAAGAGCACCCCAAGACGGCCCAGGCGTCCTCGGAAGGTCCTGAGAGGCGTCGAGGTTCCCGTGAGCAAGACTCAGTTACGTCCACAGGCTCGCGTTCTCGGACCGCCGAGCGCCCCAGACGGCCGCAGAGGCCTCCGAGATAGTCCCAAGACGCCCCCAAGAGGCTCCCGAGACGGTTCAAGAGGCCTCCGAGAGGGGCCCCGAGGGGAAACCCGACCTGACCTTCGGAGCCTCCCCCCAAGTGGCTTCCCCGAGATGGCCAGCAGGCCCCCGCGACACCAACATTTGTCCCCAGCGATGCCCCGAAGAGTCCCCATGGGGGCCCTGAGCGCGCCCCCAAGATGCCTCCCAGAGGCCCCCGAGAAGCATCCCGATAGAGTCCCTGAGGCATTCAATGCGCTTCCGTCCCACGGCCCAGGCACGATGGCGATTCGCGGTCCAGCGAGCACTCATGCAGAAAGAAGGTGATCGCCGAGTCCAGCCCCAGTACCTCATGCCAGTGCACCTCATCCGGGCACAGAGTCTGCTTCTCCGTTTCCCTCTTCGTTCCAGTGTGTTCCCGCGTTCTGTTGCGTTCCCCCTTCTGCAGTGTTCACCATCCTCTCGTCTTCCACCTCCTCCCCCTCCGACTCCAGCTCAAGCTCTTGTGGATCCCGCGCTTATCATCACAGAATGGGGCACCGTGCACCTCGCACCCACCACGCAGCACCGAACGCAATCAACAACACGCCCCTCACCACCCGCCCACATGCCTCGCCGCGGCGGTGTCCCAAATATCCTGCCCTCTTCGCCATCCGAACCTGCGCCCCCGAAGCCTCCGTACGGCTCCTGCGACGAGCCGCCCGCGAACGCAGCGAGCAACCCGGGAACACAGGCCCAAGCTTGCCTCGCGACACAGCTCCTCATCTTGTGTTCTGCATCGACCAGCAACCCCCACAGCAGCGCCCGACGCACCAAGCCCCGACGCGCGGGACCGCGAGCCGCACGCCACGTCACACCACAGTCGAGCGCGCCCACGCCTCTGTACCATTCCACCGAAGCCCGAGCACACCCGGGCACCCCCCGTAACCGCCCATCGAGTACGGTCAGTTTGGAAAGCGGCGCCTCGAAGCCCACGCGCCCCGCACCCAGCGCGTTGCGCCGACCACCCCGCCGCAGCGATGGCCAGCACATCTCGCCCCCTGCGCTGCGCTGCCCGCGCGCTGCCCCGCCGTGGCGGTGGCCACTGTGCATATAGTGATCTTGGTTGACGGCGGGCAGGCGGCCAGGCGACGAGGCAAGCAGCCACGCACGGAGGCAGGCTGTCGGGCACGGTATTCAGGCACGCTGGCCGGCCTGCAGACAGGAGCGCTGCGGAGAAAGCTGCACGGCCAGCCGGATGACAGGCGTGCGCGAAGGGGACGGCACGCAAGCGGGACAGCAGGCCAGTGATTTGCATCCTCACGAATCAGCTGTCGTGGCAGCCCTAGTCAGCTGCAACGCTGAGATCCGCGCGTATGATAAATGCGGCCAGTGGCAGCAGGCGTTGTCGCTGCTCGGGGAGATGCGGGAGAGCAGCCTGGAGCCAAATGAAAACCAGTACAGTTTGGTCATCACAGTGTACGAGAGGTTGTCTCGCCACTCGGCGGGATTCCCAGGTGATCCTCAGATCGGTCTTTCGCGTTTTCGACTACCTTGCGAAGCACTCTGCGTGTGGGACCCTGCTGGGCCACCACCGTGACTACTTGGACGAACAGCTGTATTTTGGATGTGGCACTGGCATTCCACCGCGCAGAAATCAGTTTCGGATACCACTGCACGGGTCCGCCCTGGTTGGCCACAGCGCTAGGAGCAGCACGTGTGAGAGAGGCGAGCAGTGACAGCGGGCCCATTTGTTGCTCAGTGAGATGTAGGCAGTGAAGTCGGAGCCCAGTATCGATAGTTGCTCAGCGAGATGTGGGGTGCGAAGTCGGAGCCGAAGGCCACCTGTCTTACAATTCTGGGCGAAGCGCGTGCCAGATATGAACGCAATGTACCAGCTCCCGGGCCCCTGACACCGGTCCAGGACGCTCTTAAGGACGCCCTGAGCTGCTCGCCAGACGCTTCCAAGGCAGCAGAGGTGCCCGGCACGAGAGACCCAGGTGAGCTCACGACACTCCAAGGGTTCACGATTGTCCCAAGATGCCTTCAAGATGCCCAGAGATGGTCCGCAGACTGGTTCGGAGAGGCGAAACTTGCCACAATCCATGACGACTCGCATGAGCTTCAGATATTTTCAAGCGTTTCCAGATTGTCTGCATGAGATGGCTCTGAGATCAGCCCCAGGGCTCGCAGGTTCCAGGCGATTGCAAGAGGGCCCCTCACGCGCCAAGAGCGTCCGGGACGTCCCTGGGTGGCTTCCAAGACGGCCCCAACACATCTCCAAGACTGTCCCGGGCCGCCCCAGCACGGGCCCAAGTTGCCCCCCCCGTGAGGCCCTGAGGGCCGCCACGATGGTCCCCAGCGGCCCTACGAGGGACCCCCGCGAGCCCACGAGGGAAGGCCCCAGTACGGCCCCAGGAGGGCCCGAAGAGGAGACCGGGCGTCGGCCGCACGCTCGCCGGGACCGCCCCAAGATCCTCCTGGATGGGGAGACTCGGGCGACAGCCTCCCTGCAGGCCTCCCTCCTCCCTCCTCGCCCCTCCCCTCCCTCCTCGCCCCCCCTCTGCTCCTCCTCCCCTCCCCTCCCTCTGCTCCCCTCTGCTCCTCCTCCCCCTCCTCGCCCCTCCCCTCCCTCCTCGCCCCCCCCCCCCCCCTGCTCTTCCTCCCCTCCCCTCCGCTCCCCTGCCCCCGCTCCGAGGGTGCCCCACACGCGCCTCCGGCCGCGCCGCGGACAGAGGCCCTGCCTTTCCGTTCTGCGTGCTGCCGGGCGTGCCGTGCCGTGCTGCTTCCAGCCGCGCTCTCTGTCGCGCGGACAGCCCCGGCCGCCTGCGACGAGCCCCGCCGCCGTGCCGAGCGCAGCAGTGCCTCCCTCGGAGAGGCGGCCGCTCGAGGGGCGCACACGCCTCTCGAGCCCCGAGCGCCTCTCCTCCGGCCGCCTGCGACGAGTCCCGCCGCCGTGCCGAGCCCCGCAGCTCCTCCCTCGGAGTGGCGGCCGCTCGAGGGGCGCACGGCGGCGAGGGGGAGGCCGCAGCGCCCGCGGGCGCCTCGTCGTGCCCCGAGGACCGGAAGGGCCGCGGCGGACGGTGCTTCGTTGTGCGTCCCCCCCCCCTGAAGCCTGAGCGGCTCGCTGCCTCCGCCTCCTCTGTCGGCCGCCTCCTCTGCTCTGCTCCTCCCCTCCCTCCCTCCTCCCTCCTCGCACGTGGGCACCTCGTGCCCCGCGGCCTGGCCTCCCTGCACGGTGGCACAAGTCGCTGCAGCGGCATCCCCCTTCAGGTAGCGCTCCGCCAGCGCAGTTGCCCTGCCGAGCCGCCGACGCAAAACAGTTTGTTTATTTCCGCGGCGTGTCCGAGGTTCTGTTCTCGGCTTCGTCGTCTTCCTCCTTTTTGTCCGTCCTATGTCGGGCTCTTGGATGTTCTTGAAAACGCAGGGGGGATCGACGTTTTTTTTGTTTGGCCTCTTGCGCCCTGCGTGGTTGGGGCCGTCGCGGGCCGTCGAGAGCTCCTCTAACGCAATCGTGGGTCCTTCCGGAGGTCCTCTTGGGCTCCTTTTGGGCTCCCTTGGGGCTGTCCTGCCTGGGGCGTCTAGGCGGCCTCTTGGGCTGTCTTGAGGCCGTCTTGACGGATTCTTGGGCCATCTTGGGGCCCTCTCGAGCCGTCCTGGGGCCACCTTCGAGGACTCTTGGGCCGCCTGGAGCTGAAGGAAGTCCGAAAAGGAGACGCCGCCCAAATCTTTCCAACACCTAAGGACAATTGATGAGTTTGTGTTCTTCGGCCCCTTCTGCGGGTCCTCCTGTGGTCATCGTGTGCCGTCTTGGGGGCCTCCTGGGCCGATTGTTTAGGCCATCTTGGGCCATCTTGGCGACATCTTGGGCCATCTTGGCAGCCTTGGTTGCCTGCCCTGGCCGTCTTGGAAGGTCTGCATGGCAGTTCTATAGTTTGTCCCCGACCCTCCCGTGTTGGGTTTTCGTTTTGACTAGAGCGTTGTGGTCGCGTCTTCTCCTTCTCCTCTCCTCCCCCCCCTGATCCTCTCGCCGGCCTCCTGTCTCCTCTCTCCTGCCCTCTGCCTCTCTCGTGGGCTCCTGGGAGGTCCAGCGGAGTGGAGTTGTACGGGGACCCAGCTGAGACCTCGCGGCTCCTTTGGGGGGCTGCGAAGTGTGAAGTTGTCGCCACGTTCGTGGGCTCCTGGGAGGTCCAGCGGAGCGGAGTTGTACGGGGACCCAGTTGAGACCTCGCGGTTCTTTGGGGAGGGCTGCGAAGTGTGAAGCTGTCGCCACGTTCGTGGGCTCCTGGGGGGTCAGCGGAGCGGAGTTGTACAGGGTGTGCGAAGTGTGAAACCAGCGTGCCGTTCTTGGGCTCCTTGGAGGTCCCCAGTTGAGACCTTGCGGTTCCCTGGGGGGGGGAGGGCTGCGAAGTGTGAAATTGTCGACCTTTTCCGTTGGTTCCTGGGAGGTCCAGCGGAGTGGAGTTGTACAGATGCCAAGTTGGGACGTCACAGCTCCCTCGGGGGCTGCGAAGTGTGCACCTGTCGCCACTTTCGTTGGCTCCTGGGAGGTCCATCGGAGTGGGGTGGCGTGTGTGTGTGTGTGTGTGTGTGTGTGTGTGTGTGTGTGTGTGTGTGTGTGTGTGTGTGTGTGTGGGGCACGGGGATCCTGTTGGGATCTCGGGGCTCCCTGGGGGCTGCGAGGTGTAAAGTGTCGCCATGTTTGTGGGCTCCTGGGAGATCCAGTGGAGTGGAGTTGTACGGGGACCCAGTTGTGACCTCGCGGCTCTCTGGGGGGCTGCGACGTGTGAAACGGTCGCCACTTTCGCGGGGTCTCTCGAGGCAGGGCGGAGTGGGGTGCCACGCACACCTCGCCGAGACCTCGCGGCTCCCTGGGGGGGCTGCGAAGTGCGCAAGTTTCGCCACTTTCGCGGGCTCCTGGGAGGTCCAGCGGAGAGAAGGTGTACGCAGACCCAGCCGTTCCTCCCGTGCTCCCGCTGCCGCGCTCTGCTGATTTCGCTTCGGGGTGCTCATGCGCATTGCGGGTCCTCCAATATGTTCGTTTGTAATGAGCGGTACTGGGTATAGTCGTCATATGGTTAGATACGGTAGAGGGGAACAATTACTGAACACTCCCCCTCCCCCCCAAACTCAGCGTTGGCACGCGCGGGGGAGACTGCGGTCGAAGTGCATTTCATCAGACTCACCGCCAACTTTGAACATTGGGGGGAGGGGGAAGCGTTGACGGATGAATGTCGCATGTGTTGGCTAATTTGTTCCGAGGCCTGTATGGTTGGGTACCTCACTGGGTAATTCTGTTTCAAGAGGTCTTGGCCCCGGAAGCGCGGACCCATTTCTATGGACGAGGGATCGTTGCTTCGGGGGGGTTGGGGTGCACGCAGCTAAGCGTGATGCGTAGAAGATTACATGCACCCTGCCAGGCAGCCTTTGGCATTCTACCACGTCTCGAATCTGGTATGTCGTGCCATGCTACACGGTATTCGCAGTGCCATGTCGTGATCACGCTTGCCAGCCCAATATGTTGCTGGATGCTGTGTGTGGTGCGCATGCCATTGTTGCATGTGGCTTGGCTGAAGTGGAAGGTAGTCCACGGGCCAGCCTTAGTCGCTTACAACTCTTGGATAAGCGCATGCGGTAAAAGTAAGCAGTGGCAGCAGGCTTTGTCGCTGCTGAGGCACATGTGGGAATCGAAGTTGGAGCCCAACGTCATCATACTACGAGTATGTCCGTGGGCGTTGCCTGCGAGAGAGGCTTCGTTTGGCAGACCAGCAACATTTGAGGTTGGGTGCTCCAGGCCAAGGCGGCCCGAGACAGTCCCAACATGGACTGATGACGGCCTCAAAGCAGTGCGAGACAGCCCCAAGTCGGCCCGATACCCCCTATACGGCCTCAATAATTGCCAAGGAACTTAGGAACACCGATAACACTTTCATCAACAACGATAGGACAACTGGCCGCAGACCCCGACGGCTCCACAAGGCACTGGAGGGCCCGAGAGGCCCCTCGGAGTCCAGCAATCCTGAAAGCATGAGGTCCCGTTCTGTATCTTTCCCTCTCCCTTCCAGCCTCAGACTGGGCCAAACGGGTCCTGGACGACTCCAGATGACCCCAACTGGCACCAAGGGTGTCACGACACCGCCCCGACTGGGCCCCTCGCCAACGGGGCCTTGAGCACATTTGAACTCATATGTGTTCAATGGTTGTTGTTTCCGCGGTTGCTTCGCCCCCACCAGACGAAGCAGCGTTCTCGTAGACCGCTCACCGAGCGTCTCGGGCTACACTCATCCACTAGGCATCTTCGGACTCCTTGCATCAAGCAATGTTCTCTCGATCCGACGTCCAGGCAGGCTTCCTGGACCTCGGAGGTGTCACAAGTTCAGTCACACGTCAGTACGCTTTGGGAATTGATTTCGCTTCCCGTGTTGATCGGCCCAAGGTGGTTCCCAGAGCGCTTCCGAGGGCCCCTGAATGCCAAATACATTTGGGGACGTAGAGCTGATTTGAGGATTGCAATGCGGCCAGATCTCTGGCCAATGCTAGAACCCATCCCGCCACCATGCCTTGGTTGTGGGCGTTGGGCGCAGTGAGAGCATGGTCGGGGGTGCGACGACTTCCCAGGTGTGTCTCGTCGGGTTTCTCGTTGAGCCCCTTGGGGGTCCCGCTCTTGGGGATTTTTTTGGGCCTTTTGGGGTCTCTTGGGTGTCTCTGGAGGGTCTTGGACATCTATATGTATGTATGTATGTCTGTATGTATGTATATATGTATGTATGTATGTACGTACGTACGTATGTATGTATGTAAACATGTATGTATGTATGTATGTATGTATGCATGTATGCATGCATAGATGTATATATATATATATATGCATGCATGTATATATGTATGCATTTATGTATGCATGTACGTATGTATGCATATATGTATATACGCATGTATATATATGCATGTATATGGGTATAGGTGTATGTATGCATGCATGCACGTATGTATACGTGCATGTATGTATGTATGTATGTATGTATGTATGTGTGCATGCATGCATGCATGCATACATGCATGCATTTATACATGTACGTATGTATGCGTGTATGCATGCATGCATGCATGTATGCATGCATGTCTGTATGTATGTATGTTTGCATGTATGTATGTTTGTGTGCATGCATGTATGTATGTATGTATGTATGTATGTATGTATGTATGTATGTATCTATGTATCTATGTATGTATGCATGCATGTATGTATGTATGTATGTATGTATGTGCGTGTGTACGTGTGTATGCAGGCACGCATGCATGTATGTATGCCGTGCGTGTGTTGTATGTATGTATGCATGTGTATGTGCATGTATGAATGCATGAACAACTGACTATACATGTATGCATGTATGCATGCATGCATGTATGTATGTATGCATGCAGTTATATGTGTGAATGCATGTATGCATGTATGTATGGTACTGTACGGCTGTATGACTGTGTGTATGCATGCATGCATGCATGCATACATACATACATGCATGTGTGTGTATACTTGTATGCACGCATGCATGTGTGTATGCATGCATGTATGTATTTATGTACGTGTACATGCATGTATGCATGTATGTGTATGTATATAGGTAGGTCGGTATGCATGTCTATCTTTCTGCCTGTCTGTCTGTCTGTCAGTCTGTCTGTCTGTCTGTCTGTCTGTCTGCATGCATCCATGTATGTATGTGTGTATGTATGCATGTATGTTTATGTATACGTATGCCTGTATGTATGTACCAATATGGGTGTATGCATGTATGCATGTATGCATGTATGCATGTATGCATGTATGCATGTATGCATGTATGCATGTATGCATGTATGTATGTATGTATGTATGTATGTATGTATGTATGTATGCATGCATGTATATATGTATGTATGTATGTATGTATTTATGTATGTATGTATGTATGTATGTCTGTCTGTCTGTATGTATGTATGTATGTATGTATGTATGTATGTATGTATGTATGTATGTATGTATGTATGTATGTATGTTTGTGTGTGTATGTATATATATATATATATATTGCAGAGGAGGCTTCCGGCTGTCTGGCGTCTGGCGTTGACGCGCTCTTGGCCCCTCTCTGGGCTGTCTTGGAGGCTGGATGGGGCCGTCATCGACGCTGGGAAGACCAGAAAGGCGAGAACGTGGGAATTCACATAAACGAGAGGTTTTCAATGATTCTGGCTCATTAGGCAGGGCTCCCCCAGGGCCTCCGAGACGGCCCGAGAGGCTCCCAATCGGCATGCTGTCTTGAGAGAATCACGCCGTGAGTACCGAGTCGATAGGAATGGCGGTTTGGGACCGTCATATTGTATTCACATTTTTCAATGTTGATGGCTGGAAGGTCCCTGAGGACATTCCTCTCAGTGCCTCCGGGCACGTTTGTGGATGGACCTCGAGCGGGCCCCCAAACATGGAAACCCATTTTGTTTTATTTGATTCTCCCCCGTTATGGCGGTCCTATCATGAGCAGCTTTTGTGGGGCCATCGGAGGCCCCCAAGAGGCCCCCAGAGAGCTCCCAGATGCCCCAAGCGGCCTCCAAGACAGACCAGGAAGGCCCCAAGCGGCCTCCAAGGGAGACCAGGAAGGCCCCAAGACGCCCCAACAGAGGCCAGCAGAGCCTTCAGAGGCCTCTGAGCCTGCGCCCTGCCCTCGCCAGACGGGGAGGCTTGCGCGGAGAGGGCCCAAAGAGAGGTTTCCATACAGCTTGTTCCAGACACGGTCTCGCTGTCGATGCCCCCCCTTGTTCTCCTACTGCACTGTGTGCGGTGCGTGCTGGAAGGGCCGGAAGCAACCCTAGGTAGGCTCCACGCTTCCTCGTGACGCCCCCCCTTCAGGAGGGAAGGAAACACACAGACACAATTGATCGTCGATTCCCCAGAAAACATGGAAAATTTAGGAAGTGGGGGGGGGGAAGAGCAAAACCCAGAAAATATGGGAAAATATTGGGAATCTTTTTATTCGTGTGTATTTATTTGTGTGTCCTGGGGCCCCTTCACCCCTAGCGTCTTGGGCCTGGTGCCGCCGGTTCCTCGCAGCGCCTTCCGCCGAGACGCCCCCCCCAGCCAGCGTCGGGGGCCCGTACGGGGGTCCCACGGTCAGCTACGGCGCTGGGGTCGGTGCGTGCGAGAAGGGTGGGCAGTGGCAGCGGGCTTTAGCGCTGCTCATCACCACCCAGCTGGTCTTCGGGTTGGGTTGGGGTGGTCTGGTAGGTAGTCAGCTCAGCGAGATGCGGCAGGGGAAGTTGTTGCCCGATGTCATCGGGCACAACGCTCGGATGAGCGCCTGTGAGAAGGGCGAACAGTGGCAGCGGGCTCTTGGCGCTGCTCCGCCAGGTGCGGGAGGCAGAGCTCGAGTCCACCGCGATAATCCATCACGCTGGGATCAGAGCGTGCGGGAACTGCGCGCAGTGGGCGCAGGCATTGTCGTTGCTGAGCGGAGTGGAGGAGGCAGGACTGGATCTGGATGCCACCATGCACAGTGCTGTCACTGCCGCGTGCGTGGAAGGCGGGCAGTGGCAAATGGCCGCAACGCTGCTCGGTGAAGTGGTGAGGAAGTCTGGTCCCACTGCGGTAGCAGTACAGTCATGCGCGAGCCTGTTCGCGCAGGGCCAGCACTGAGATCCCGCGTGATCGTTGCACCCCGCTCTGTGCAAGACGAGGTCGGATCTCGACGGCATCAGCGGTAATGCCAGAATGAGGCACGAGGAACGGCGGGCAGTTGCAGCACACACTGCCTCGCACCACAGAAGCAGATGAGGCGACGCCAGATTTCGAACTTGCCGCCCACAGTGCACAGTGCACTGCATCGAAGAGGGCAGGCATTGGCAGGAGGAGTTGTTCCAGTTGTCATGACAGTTGGGCACTACGGTTGTGCACTCAAGAGTATAGTCCTCAGCGAGAGTTGGAACGTGGACTCCAGGGCATGGCGCATGATTACGGTTGGTTCATGCGGCGTTTGCGCGCTGGCGACGCCTGCGAAGGCGTTCAAGGTTGAATTCTGCGACGCGGAAGCACCCAGGGACATGGCAACGCCACACGACCTGAGGACTGAATTCCACTTTGAACGATCGGGGCCGCGATGGATTCAATGTTGTTCGATCGACGCGGTGTCAAAACCTCTGCGCGCGCCGACGCCGCACGAACCTACCGTACCACTCACGTGCCATCCCTGGTCATCAGCTACTGCGCTGGGGCCCGCGATTGCGAGACGGGCGTGCAGTCGCGATTGCGAGAAGGGCGTGAAGTGGCAGCGGGCTGTCGCTCTGCCGGCAGGCGAGCTGTGGCAGGCGGAGCTGTGGACCGACGTCCTCCGTATCACCAGTCGACTATGCACAGAGGGGGGGTGTGGGGGGAGGGGGGAAGGCCTCTCAGCAGCACCCCTGGCTTCTTAGACGGCGCGAGCCTTACCTGAAGACGTAGGGCCCGCGCCTTCTCAGAAGCAGCCTCCTTCTGAGAAGCCTGCTCCCTTCCCGCTTCCCCCTGCCCCCTTTGTGAGCGCCGCCCCAAAACAGTGCAGAAGCCGGCGCGTGGCAGAACGGCGTCGCAGCCTGATGGCGCCGAATCGGCCCAGCCAGGCTGCGTGCGGACCAGAAATGTCTGACGGGGGAGTCCACAGATCGGGGGCGGCCAAGGGGGGTGGGCCGATGACTAGGGGGGGGGTCGATACTGTGGAGACCCATGTCAAGAAAGACCCTGCTTGCCTCCAGGGTGCCCGTGGTTTCTTGGGTTCCGATGGTTTTGCTGTGGAGAGCGCGACGTTTCCGTACAAATAATCAATTGGCGTCCTGGGGTCTTAGGGTTGGGTTTCTCGTGGAAGGTTTCTTGTGGATTGGCCTCCACTGTATCATGGCCGGCGCCATGGTGTCTCCCTGGACCTCATGCCTCCCTCCTGTTCTTTCAGCACATCCCATGGCCCCCTTTCGTCTGCGCACATGCCTCTGGCCACGACGTGCCTCCCGCCCCCCCCTCGTCGGCGCACCCGAGCAGAGGGTGAGAAACGTCCTAAAACCCGTGCCTTAGAACCTCCTCGAATTTCGTTCTTCGTCGAGCCTCGATCCTCAGAGCGAGATTTCGGAGCGGACCCAGCCTTGGCGACGAGGCGTCCACCCCCCCCGAGGCGCCAGAAATGCGAAGCAGGATCCAAAGCCTCGATCATGGATGCCTCCTTCTCCTGCTACTGCGCACTGCCAAATGGATGACGCCGAGGCGTCTACCACGTGAATTGCAAGGACAAGGTGTCAAGCAACAGGGGCGGCCGCGCCTCCAACGGCGCAGCCGTGCTGCTGCTGAAGCTCGAAGGAGGGAGCCAGATGCACAAAAATCCAGACGCGACCTTGGGGACCTCCTCCTCCTCCTCCTCCTCCTCCTCCTCCTCCTCCTCCCCCTCCTCCCCCTCCTCCTCCTCCTCCTCCTCCTCCTCCTCCTCCTCCTCCTCCTCCTCCCGCTGCCGCCGCCCCAGCACCCGCCCGCTGGGGCAGGCGCGTGAGGATCGCACGCCTACGTCCGACCGCCCTCGCGCCCCCCTCGGGACCGAGCCGAGGTGTCGCGGAGCACTCCTCATGGATCGCTTCGCTCCTCCCGCCGGCCCACAAGGCGCCATCGGTAGCCGCGCGAAAGCTTCTCTCGACGGCCTCTTGGGGCACAGCTGAGTCGGGAGCAAACCGGGTCGTGGACAGGGGGCTCGAGGAGGAGGAGGAGGAAGAGGACCGCGTGCGCGAGCTTCTCCCCGCCCCTGGCGCAGCCCTCCCCCCCCGCCCCTCTGCCCCGCGCAGGCCTGAGGGCGGCGCTGACGTGGAGCCTGGAGCAGTCGACCTTTCAGTCCTCGACGTCAGGCCAGCGCGGGCGGCCGGGTACAGATGGAGCCCCCATGCCAAGAAACGCCCTGCTCGCCGCCAGGGTGCCCTGGGTTTCTTGGGCTTCGATGGTTTGGCCGTGGGACGCGTGGCGTTCCCGCACCAACAATCGATGGACGTCCTGGGGCCTCAGGGTTGAGTTTCTTGCGGGAGGTTCCTGTGGTCGGGCCCCCACTGTATCAGAGGAGGATGAGGCACCGATGCCACTACCCCGGCCTCGATTTTGCTCTTTTGGGCTCCTCCAGGGAGGCATTCCTCGCCACCGCTGGATTCGCCTGGAAGTAGTCCTGGTTGGAGCGCGCCCCGGGAGAGGTCCAGGGCGTGGCGGTATTGGTACCTTTTGATTTCCCCAGGTCAGGGGCATCGTCAGGGTGGTAGGCTCAGGGGGGCATGCATCGACCCCCAATCTAATATGGCTCGTTCATCTCCAATATGGGGACCCGATAGCCCTCCTCCACCTCGGAACGTACGGATTCGCCATCGGGGGCTTGTAGACGATATCGCGCATTTCAGGTCGATGTTTCCCCCCCTGAACTGGTCCCCCGTTCTCCCATACTGTTGCCCTCACCAGGGGGATGTTGCATTTTTTTCGCACCGGGTGTTTTCTCCTCTTCTCGATCCGGCTCGAAAAGTGGCGCAAACAGATAGGGGTCTGGGGCCCTGGTCTTGATTTGTCAAGGTGGTTCATTTTTTCCCAACTGGAGGAGCACCGGAGGAAAGTGGAGGGCGGAGGTTTTTGGGCTGTTCTCGCCATCTTTCGTAGGACGACGAGGAAGGCGAGAACCCTGGAGGTGACACGTGGGAGGGGGAGGGGCAGGAGCAGGAGGAGGAGGATTGGGAAGGTGGAAGAGAAGGAGGATATGAGTATTGGAGAGGATGTTGATGATGATGGTGATAATGATGATGACGACGATGGTGATGATGATGGTGATTATTATGATGCTGATGATGATGCTGGTATTGCTTATGATTATGATGATGCTGATTCTGATCATGATTCTGGTCATGGTGTTTCTGGTTATTATTATGATTCCGCTGATGATGATTATGATGGCGATGCTGATTGTGATAATGATGATGATGATGATGATGATTGTGATACTGATGATGATGGTAGTGGTGGTGATGATGACGGTGGTAATGATCGTGAAGATGCGGATGATGATAATTCTGAGGACGATGCTGCTGCTGACTAAGATGGTGCAGATGAAGGTGAAGATGATGATGATGATGATGATGATGATGATGATGATGATGATGATGATGATGATGATCATAATGCTGACGATGATACTTATGAAACTGATGATGATGCTGATGCTGATGATCATGCTGAGGAGGAGGAGGATATTGAGGAGGAAGAGGAGGATTATGTCGATGACGACGCTGATGAGGATGCTGATGATGCTGATCATGCTGCTGATGATGACGATGATGATCATGAGAATGCTGATAAAAATGATGCTGATGCTGATTACAATTGGTGATGATGATGAAGCTGATGATGATGTTGCTGATGATGCTGACGATACTTATGATGGTGCCGATCCTGCTTAGGAATACGATGATGGTGATGAGGGTGATGATGATGAGGAGGATGATGATAATACTGATGATGGTGATTATGATGATGAGGAGGAACACGACGACGATGTTGATGATACGGATCTTGTTGTTTTGGTGGTTATGATTATGATGCTGAAGCTATTGCCGAGGATGATGCTGGGAATAATGATGATGCTTATGATTGGTGATGATGGTGATGATGATGGTGATGCCCATAATGCCGACTATGACGGTGACGATCATTCCGCTGCTGCTTATGATGATGAGTTGCTGCTGCTGCTGATGACGATGCTGATGATGACGATGTTGATGGCCATGATGCTGCTGATGATGCTGCTGCTGATGACGATGATGATAATGACGATGTTGACGATGACGATGACGATGATGATGATGATGAGGAGGAGGAGGATGATGATGATGATGAGGATGAGGGTGATGATGATGCTGATGATGATGATGATGATGGTGATGGTGGTGATGATTATGATGATGATGGTGGTGGTGGTGGTGCTGCTGCTGCTGATGATGATGATGATGTTGATGATCATCATCATGATGCTGAGGAAGGTGGAAGGTGGGAGGGGGAGGACGAGGATTAGAAGGAGGCGGAGGATAAGATGGAGGAGGAGGAGGAGGAGGAGGAGGAGGAGGAAGCGGGGGAGGAGCGTACGGAAGGGGACCACGATGACGACGACGAGGACGGCTAAGGAGCACTAAAGGAGGAGGTAGGGGGACGCGGAGGAGGAACCAGTTGATGGTTCAGGAAGAGGAGGAGCAGGAGGAGTAGACCGGGAAGGACACAGGCAGGTCCCAGTCAGGTATTGGGAGTTAGTGCTGGACGGGTACGTGGGTGGGCCGGTAGGTAGGTGGATATGGCTAGTTGGCTGGTTGGCTGGCTGCCTGTTTAGTTTATTGGCTGAGTGGGTGGGTGGTACTGTGCGGACGGAAGGGCGGACGGATTTTTGGATGGTCGGAATGGGTGCATTGGTGGATGGATGGTCCGTTAGACGACTTGGCGTTCTTTTCGTTCAGTTTCGCAGCGGCTAACCACCTGACTACCAAACATGTGTTGACGTGATCTTCGATTTCAGGTAGGTGAGCTCACCTTCGTTTCTCACGGACATCCTGGCGTGAGGTTGCCAGCTCTGCGCCTGGTGTGCGGCCTTGGGGCGCCACAGCCGTCATGCAAATGGTGATTCCACGCACGTCGTCCAGACCTGGACTCGTGACCTGTTGGGGGATTCGGATCAGTATCCAGCTTGGCTAGATCTGTGTCGTTTGGTGTTCGTATTATCCACTCGTGCTGGACCAGCTCGCCACTGCAGTAAGACTGCTGATTCTTCTCAATGCGAGACACGCCCTCGAAAAAGGTGCTTGGATGATCGATGCTGTGGGATCCTGAATGTGGCACTGGCGAGCAGCATCGGGGCTTTGTACTCACACGCGTTCGGCTTTTATTCATACAGCGCGGCCGTCATGACTTGCTGGTGATGCATTTGAGACTCGGCCGTGCCCCGCAGTGTCAGGCTTGCGCTTCGGGTCACTACTGTGGGCCTGCGGGAAGGGCGGCAGGACTCGCCCTAGCGCAGAGTGCCTAAGTATGTGTTAACCGAGCCTTGTGCGCCGTGGTAGCTGCAGTCGCTCGCAGCCTCGCGCGCAATGCCAGTGTGGGGAGATTGGTTTACTCGCTTCTGGGTCGGCAGAGTGAACGGGAACTGTTTGCGAGACTATTTTTCATTGCAGGCCACAAGTATCGCCGGATCGAGCGCTTCGGTGTGTGGGAAGTACGATGCAGACATTCGAATTGGCTGTTTTCTGGAAACCTTCTGTGAATACCGCTTGCAGACACCGCCTCGTCCAGAGTCTATCCAGGAAGGCTTATGCGGCAGTCGTTGTTGCGATCAGGCTCATTTTTGTGGCATCAGCGGTGAGGTCTGCACTCGTGAAGGCTAACTGTCTGCGTCCTCCGACGAGACCACATGCTTTCCACTGGCGTCCCGTGCAGTGTGTAACAGATCGTTCACTTTCCATGGCCGTGATAGGGGTTGCTCCTTCTTGTATTCAACGCTGCGCTTCCAGTCTTTGGTGATTGCGAGGATTCTCTGGCACGGCCAGGTTGTTCACGGAGCTGCTTAGCGCCACATCTAGTCGGACAAAAAAGTGGGCCATGCCAATGTTCTGACAGTTGCCGCTTGTGGACGGCATTCACGCGTCACTGAAAGCGGGGGGGGGTCGATAATTCGTGTTCACTTAGTAGAGATCGCGGCGATTGCGCTTGTGAGTGCAACGTATGCTTGTGCATTCGATGCGACCAGGAATCTTGAGCCGCGTGTGCAGATTCAACCAGACGGGCAATGGTGTGCGCTACGACAACACATGCGTATCTAGCTCGTGCTCACTGTGGCAGTGCTCACTGTGGTAGTGGGAGCCTCCTGGCTGTTCCATGTACGGAGGCCTGATCGCACATGGACAGGTCAGTCACTCACGTCTACTGCCGTGCCCTGGTTTAATAGTGCACGGCGATACTGGCGCGCCCGGCCCACTTGGCGCGTACTCGAGTGAAGTTGTCAGGGGGCATGCGCCTTGTCCAGCAACTTCCCCAAGACGCAATATAGGCTTCCCACTGACTTGCTACAAGACTGCCGCCACCACCGCCGCCTGTACCACCGTCGCCGTCAGCGCGGGCTCAGGCCGTTCGGGGAGCCCGCGGCGGAGGCCACCGAGAGGAAGGATGCCTCCGACGCGGGGCATCTGGGCCGCGCCCTGAGCCACCGCGGGCTGTCGCACTCCTGCGCGCCCCACAGACCAGCCTGGCCCCACAGACCAGCCTGGCCCCCGATGGCGCTGGAGGCTCCAGCGCCTGAGCCCGCCAGGCTGCCCGAGGGAGCCGCCGTCCCCTGCGGCACGGCTACCTCGGCCTCGCCCGCGCGACGCCGCCGCCGCGCTCCGGGGGAGCGGCCGCCCGGCGCACCTCACACGGCACGGGAGGTGCCCGCGCGGCAGGCAGGGCCGTGTCGTCCCGTTGGGCGCAGCAGGGGCCAGGTTCTGTCGAGCCGAGGTGGAGCTCGATCCGATCCACGAATCGTCAGGGGCGATGCCGGGGATTTTTCGCTCCATCTCGGGGTGCCCTCGAGCGAGCGAGCGCGCGCGAGCCGCCCGCCCTGGCCCGAGCAGGCTGCGGTGCGCACCGAGGTCCGGCAGAGACTGCGGCACGGCTGCGCGGCAGGATCCTGCCCCTCCCAGCGTGTTGAGTCCAGCGACGGTCCTTCTTCTTCCTCCTCCTCCTCCTCCTCTTCTTCCTCCTCCTCCTCCTCCTCTTCCTTCTCCTCCTCTTCCTCCTTCTCCCTCTCCTTCCCCTCCGTCCTCCCCACGCTGCACATCTCCTCCTCCTCCTCCTCCTCCTCCTCTTCGACGTCGTCCTCCTCCTCCTGCCCATTCTTCTCTACCTACTCCTCGTGCTTCTCCTCGTGCTTCTCCTCCTTCTCCTTCTCCTCCTCCCTCTCCTTCCCCCACGTCCTCCCCACGCTGCACCTCCTCCTCCTCCGCCTCCTCCCCTTCCTCTTCAACGTCGTCCTCCTCCTCCTGCCCATTCTTCTCTACCTCTTCTTCCTCCTCCTCCTCCTCCTCCTCCTCCTCCTCCTCCTCCTCTCTCCTCCTCCTCCTCCTCCTCCTCCTCCTCCTCCTCCTCCTCTCTCTCCCTCTCCTTCCCCTCTCTCCTCCGCCCCGCACGCCCCAGGGGCCTTCCTGTGCGTGGAGGGGCTGCTGCTGGTGTGGGCGCTGGGCGGCGCGGCGAGGACGGGAGATTTTGCGGGCGCGTTGGGCCAGAGAGGTCACGCCGCGCCGTGGTGCGCGTTGGGGCCAGCGTGTTGGTTTCGCTGGAGGTTTGGATCGAAGAAGAAAACTGGCATAAACATAAACGTACACATATCTGGAACGGACTGATCCTCGTCCTGGCCTCGTCCGAGAAGAAGGCCAGCAGGGTGCCGACACCGCGGCTTCCAATAGAAGAAGGAACAACGGCATAAACATAAACTGTTGGCGCTCCGCGCGGATTTCTCTTGGATCGGCCCCGGGGCCCCCCTGGCGGCGCCTCCGGCGCCGCCCCTTGGCGCGCTCCGCGCGCCAGGGAGGGGTGCCCAGCGCAGGTCCAAGACATCCGCGCGGAGCGCCAACAGTTGATGGTTACGCCGTTCTTCTGTTTGCTATTGGAAGCCGCGGTGTCGGCAGCCTGTTGGTCTTCTTCTCGGATGAGGCCAGGACGAGGAGAAGTCCGTTCCAGAGCGTTCCGGATTGCTCCGAGAAGGCCGCGGCGCCCGATGCATTTGCCCGAGCCGCCGGATCTCAGAGATGCTCGGCTTATCCTCACCCGAGGTTGTCTCCGTCCTGGCTTCGTCTTATCTTTTGCGTGAGCTGCAGCCCGAGATGCAATTCCGCAGGACAGCAATGGGTCGGTGAACGATGAGCCCAGGCAGTATTGCTACGTTTGTGATGGGCGCCCTCGTGCGCCAGAGGACCTCTGAAATTCTTGATGCTTCCCGTATCCCCACCAGCGCTTGCCCGGCGTCCGACCAGCTTCGCGCGCGTTCGCGTGCCAAAAAATATCCCCACCAGCCCATCCAGAAACGATACCCCCATGAGGGTTGGCTGGGAAATGTGGAAGCGACAAACGTAGTGAAACCAAACGGGCAACAAGGGTGAACGGAGAGATCTCGTGGACCGGGGGGGTGCCTGGACAGCCTCTTTGGGCCGTCTCTTGGGCCCGCATGAGGGGCGAATGGGAGGAGGAGGAGGAGGAGGAGGAGGAGGAGAATGATGATGATGATGATGATGATGATGATGATGATGATGATGATGATGATGATGATGATGATGATGATGATGATGATGATGATGAGGAGGAGGCGTGAGGCTGCGTGGTCTTGAGAGCCCATTTGAGCCATCTTGGGGTTTTCTTGGAGACTTCTTGGGATTTTCTTTGGGTCCTCTTGGGGCTCTCGGGGCCATTCTGATGTTGAGCCCGTTGGGGGCCTTTTTGGGGCCCGCTTGGCACCTCTTGGGAGCCCTGGATGGCCTCTTGGGGCCATCTCAGAGGGCGTCGACCGAACGTGAAGGGAGGGGGGGTCCTAAAGCTACGTCCCCTCTTGGGGCGCTACTGTGGCGCCGCTCCTGGGGCCCCACTGGGGCCCCGAGAGCGCTCAACATCACCACTTGGGGACCCACTCGGGGCGCCGCTCTTGGGCACTCTTGGGGCCGCCTTGCGGGGGCCTCTCGGGCCCCGCCTGGGCTCTCTTGAGTCAGATTGTGGCAATCGTGAGGTCTCAGGAGCCCATCGGAAGCGAGAAGGTGAGACATGCCTCGGTAGAAATTAGCGAACGCTTATGCCACATTCACCAGTCAAGTGCTTCCCCGATGTTGGCGGCGGTGGGTTGGATGAGTTGCTCTTCGTCCGCAGGCTGCCCCGTGCGTGCCAGCTTTGAGTTGTAGCGGGCGGGGGAGTGTCCACTACTTTTCCCTCGACCGAATGGCACACATTATTGATTTTGCTAGGTGTTTGAAGAAGGCTGGCCTCTTGGGGGAGTCCTTGGGGGGCGCCGAGCGCATTTTTGGGCCGCCTTGTGGCCCTCTTGGGGGGGGTCGGAGGTGTGTCGGAAGCTGCATTGAGCCACCTTGGGCTATCTTTGCCCGTCTTGGAGGCCATCTTTGAGCATCAGAGGTCCCCTTGGAGCCATCATGAGCGACGGAGCAACCTCTGACCCATCGCGCCGCCACCCCGTCCGGACCCCTGGGGGGGGACAGGGAGAAGGTGAATCCTTTCCCGAACGGGAAGAAGGGGTTTTGCGAGGGAGAAGACAATGACCGTTAGACCATCTGCTCCCAGTGGGCGGGTGGGATCTACTCCCAGTGGGCGGGCGGGTCGGATTAGAAACCCCCTCCCCCCTAAACGGGACCCCTGGACGCCCTTGCAGACGGTCCCCTGTGTTGTTCTGGGGCTCCTGAAGCCCTGCTGGGCCTAGGCAACAGGCCCAAATCGGTCAGGAGGGCGGCCGGACGGCCTCGCGAGAGCCCACAGATGCCCCAGACACCCACTAGAGGCTTCAAGACGACCGAAAGAAGACCCCCAAGGGGCATTCGAAACACAAAAAACATATATTTCCTATGGTTTTTGCATGATGCTGGGAATGCTCAGTTCTTCGGTCCTCCGGGCGTCCGAGACCGCCCAGGAGGCCAGAGAATCGCCCCACATTTAACCAACAGGGCTTCCAGGCAGTCCTAAAGGAGCCCCAAGATGGCCCAACAGGGCCCCAAAGATGGACCGACGAGAGTCCCATGACGGCCTCAGACGGCCCCAAGACGCCTCCCGAATCATTCCAAATCGTGACCCGGTCGTCCAGGGAGACCGCGGTTGGAAGCAGGGTGGCCCGGGGGAGCCCCCAGAGGCCCCCAGAAGGAACCCAGGAGGCTTCCAGAAGGCCCCAGCAGGCTTTTAAAAACCTTAGTAAAGCTTAACAGAGGCTCTCCTAGGATGAGCCTCCGCAAAATGCTGAGGATGGGGAAGAATTCGGAGGGTAGGGCGAGGATGAGGAAGAGGAGTAGGAAGCATGATGTAAGGATAACCAATCACATGATTACAACGACGATGCCAGAACAGGCAACAACGAGGCATCGCTAAATGTTCGTCTTCCCTTATTGCCTTCAATTTTGCATACCAAAACTTCATGACCAAAGGATATGGCGCGAAGCGCCAATGCAGTCTTGTATGTATGTATGTATGTATGTATGTATGTATGTATGTATGTATGTATGTATGTATGTATGTGTGTATGCATGCATGTATGTAGGTATGTATGTATGTGTGCGTGCATGTAGGTAAACATATCTGCATGCATGCATGTACGTATGCACGCACGCATGCATTCATGTATGTCTACTTGAATGCATACCTGTGAATGTGTGTAGGTATGTATGCTTGCATGTCTGTCTGTCTGTATGCACGTACGTATTTGTGGGTATGCGTATGCATGTATATATGTATGTATACCTGCATGCGTGCATGCATGTAGGTCTGTGTGTAGTTGTATGTATGTATATCTGCACGTATGTATGTATGTATGTATGTATGTATGTATGTATGTATGTATGTATGTGTGTATGCAAGAAGCTATGTGTGGGTGTGCATGTATGTACATATACATGCATACCTATCTGCCTACATGCATATGTATGTATGCACGCACTTATGCATGTCTGTGTGCAGATGTGTATGTGTATATGCATGTATACATGCATACGAATATGTATGCATGTCTGTATGCTTGTACGTAAGTATGTATGTATGCATGTATGCAACATTGTATGCAATTATATATGATTGTAGGTGTACATGCATATATGCACGTATGCATGTATGCATGTACGTGTAGACATATGAATATATACATGTCTGTATGCATGTATGTATGCATGCTGGTATGCATACATCTATATACGTATGCGTATACGTATAGATGTATGGATGAATATATGCATGTATGCATGTATGTACGTACGCATGTATGCATGCATGCATGCATGCGTGCGTGCGTGCGTGCGTGTATGTATACATATATATATGTGTATGTATGCATACGTGCATACATTCACGCATGCATGTAAGTATGCACGTATTTATGTATGTATGTATATGTGTATGTATGTATGCATGCAGGCATGCATGCATGCATGTATGTGTGTATGTATGTACGTATGGGTGGTCAGAGACGATGAGAACGAGGGAGGGCCAGATCGGCTCAAAACCGGAGTTTAGACAGGGCACAGTGGGACGACCGTTGAAACACTTCCCCTCAGCAGGCGGCTCGCTTTTCATCCATCTTCAGCGCCATCGTCCACATGCACTGTGGCTCCCCCAAAGTTTCGGTGTCCGACGGCTCTTCCAAGCTTTCGGTGCCCGAGGGCCACTTCCAAATCCCAGGGCCGTCTACCAATGACTCGGGATGAAAAAGCAGTATTGGGGAAGAAATTGAATGTCTGGCGGCAAGGAGGTCAACAAACGCGGATCGTGTGGAGCGTGTGCAAATCCGCATTCAGTGAATTAATTTCTCTTTCTTTGCCTGCCCAACCGTTCTCTCAGCAACATGTGGATAGCTCAGCAGACATGACCTTGACCGCAGTCGCGGTCATCACGTTCACCCCCCTCGCAGAGCAACTGCGCCTCTGACCCTTCATTGTAATGACTGATAGCACACTCACGGCTAGCACCCTCCCCCCCTCATGATCATCACCGTACCCATCCTTCCCCGTATCGCCGACAGCCCCTTCCCAGTAATGATTTGAGCCACATACCACGGCCATGCATTAGACCGGGGGCGGAAAAGAGAGGGGTGATGACTAGGGGGGGGTGGATATCATGGCGCGGGCCATGATATTTCCCCAGATTTCATGGCGTCTCTTCTTGTTTTATTACGTCCCTGGCCCCCTCGTTGGGCCGCGCACATGCCGCCGGTCATGATTTGCACCCCCCCCTCTTGGACACCCCCCTCTTTGCCGCTCCCGATTAGAGCCCTTCTCAGATCATGCCCTTCACCCGCCTCGCGGTCTCCTCGGTTTTTGCTCCCGGTTGTCGGCTTCGAGGCCACTGCTCAGGCCCCGCTTTGCCATGACCTTCACCCCGCTTGCGGTCATCGCGTGCACGCCCTCGACGTCACAACCGTCACTCCTGCTGGGTTCAGGGCTCATTTCAGTATTGAGGTCCTCACCTTCGCCCCGGTCGCAACCATGCCCTTCCCCGTGGCGTAAACATGCCTATGGGCTCCATCCAGCACACATGACCCCCGCCCCCCTCCTGGTCATTACCTTTCCGCTCCGACGAGTCCTTCGGCAGTCCCCCCGCAGTGCCTGGACGCAGGACCAAGGCTTGAGGCGAAGCGAAGCGAGCCTTCAAGTCTTGTATACATGATTACTTCTATGCATGTGTGCATATATGCAGTATTTAGTGATCGACCGACCGTATGCCCTTGTTCTAGCGTGCTTGCCATGTGTTGATTTGTGGTTCGGGCATACAACCTTACGTTTACTTTCCACATCCTTCGTGGCTAGCTGCCTTGATCATAATGGTGCGTGATTTGATGAATTCGAGCAGGTGGGGTGAGTGGGGATGGGGTGGGATGGAGCGGGAAGGTTGGGTGGATGAGTATCACTGAAAAGGAGGAGTCTGAAGGGCATGATGGAGTTGTCTCTTCATCTTCCACTTCCTCTCGTTCTCCTCCACTTCTCCCCCTCCCCCTTCTCCTTCTCTCCTCTCTCCTCCTTGCCCTTCTCCTTGCATTCCATCTCTCCTCCTGCCGCTGTTGCTGCTCATCATGCTGCTGCTCATCCTGCTGTTGTTTGTCCTCTCGCTGGGGAAGGCTTGGGTCGGCCCGAAGGATTTTCGGCACGAAGGGCGGCAAAGGCGGCGTGGGCACGAAGGCTTGTGCCCCTAGGACGGATGATGATGAAGAGGGTGAGGATGAGGAAGAGGATGTGAATTCGGATGATGATGACGATGATGGTGGTGATGGTGATGGTGATGGTTATGATGGCGATGGCGATGACGATGATGATGCTGATGCTCATGATGATGAGGATGATGAGTATGATGAGGATGAGGATGATGGTGATAACGACGGCGATAATGACGATGCCTACGATTATGATGGTGATGCTGAGGATGGCGGTACTGATGATGCCGACAAGGAGGATGAGTATGTTTATGCGTAGTATGCCAATGCCGACGAGGATGCCGATTCTGACCGTGATGATGACGATCATGACGATGAGGACGACGACCACAGCGACGAGATGATGATGGCGATTGTGATGTTGATGCTGATGATGCTGTTGATCTTGATGATAAGGATGATGATGATGGTGGTGATGATGACGATGGTGATGATGATGATGCTGATGATGATGCTGCTCATGATGATGCTGATGATGATTGTATTGTATTGATGATGATGATGATGATGATGATGATGATGATGATGATGGTGACGATGATGCTGACGAGTCTGAGGAGGAGGATGATGATGCTGACGACGGCGATTCTGGTCACGACGATGATGCCGATAACGATAGTGACGACGCCGGGGCAGCTGATGCCGTTGATGATGTTGGCGATGAAGGGTTTAACGATGCTGTGGCTGCTGATGATGATGTCGATGCCGACGACGACGAGATGCTGATGACGATGATGGTCGCGGTGATGACGGTACTGACGTTTGCGATATTGTTTTTCGTGATGGTGCTGCTGACGATGCTGATGCTGTTGATGATGGTGACGACCAGGCTGCTAAATCTGATGTTATGCTGGCGACGGGGATGTTGTTGTTGATGTCGACGTGGCTGGTGACGGAGCACGGGATGATGACGATTATGACGATGACTATGATGCTGGTGGCGATAATGCTGGTGATGATGACGACCAGGATGAGGAAGACGATGATGACGATGATGCTGATGCTGATGATGATGATTTTGATGCTACTGCTGCTGGTGATGACGGTGGTGACGATGATGATGATGTTGATGATGATGATGATGATGATGATGATGATGCTGCTGATGATGATGATTATTATTCTTATTATTATTATGATTATGACGATGGTAACGATGATGCTGATGCTGCTGCTGACGCTGATGGTGGTGTTGATGTTGATGATGATGACGCCGCTGATGCTGCTTATGATGATGCTGATGATGCTGATGATGATGATGGTAACGATCTGATGCTGGCGACGAAGACGACGGTTATGATTACAAGTATGAGGGTGGACGGTGCGGATGATGATGCTGATTACGCTGATGATGATGATGCGGATGATTATGCTGCTGCTGATGATGATGGTGCTGAATCTGATGATGCTGATCATGTTGCTGATGATGATGCTGATGAGGATGATCACGCTGCTGCGTATGCTGAGTATGAAGATTCTGACGCATATGATGCTGTGGTTGCTGACGACGATGCTGCTGCTGGTATGCTGATGTCGATGCTTTGGCTGCTGACGATGATTCTGCTGCTGCTGGTGATGATGGTGATGATGACGAGGATGATGTTGATGATGATGCTGATGGTGATGATGATGTTGCTGATACTGATGACGATGCTGATGATGGTGGTGGTGATGCTGATGATTATGATGCTGCTTATCATGATGCTGATGATGAGTGAGGTAGCCGAGGCGACAGTGAGGATGATGATGATGGTGGTGATGGTGGTGGTTGTGATGCTGATTCTGACGACGATGCCGTCTATGTTGCGAATGGCGATGATGATAGTGGTGGTGGTGGGGCTGATGACGATGACGACGATGATGCTGCTGCTGATGATGATGATGACGAGGATGATGCTAATGATGCTGATGCTGATGCTGCTGCTGCTGATGATGATGATGATGATGATGTTGTTGATGATGATGATGATGATGATGATGATGATGATGATGATGATGATAATGGTGATACTGGTAATAATGATGCTGCTGATTATGATGACGACGATGACGTGGGTCAGACGAAAGGTAACGCGGTGGAACTACACGTGGGGTGGAGACAGGCTCACCTCTTGAGCACATTTCGCAGCCAGGGTGTCAGTGTCGGGGCCCTTTCGGCCACGCCCGCTTGAGGGCCACCTGCCTGCATAGCTTCCTCGTTCCCCGTTGACTGCCACCCCTTCGCCGTGAGCTTCAGCCCGAGATGATGGTGCTTGTGCGAAACTGATCTGCTTCCAGGAAAGGCGCGCTCACTTCAGTC